TACATCAATAAAACTTTACGATCAACTAATACAGACTCAACGAAGCAAAACCAAACGTTTCGCATGTTTCTAAGCTAATCGAATTAATCTAAGTCGTTCTAAATGCAAGCAAATTCCCTCAGCACCATATTAATTTGATCACACAAATCTCGATGTTATTCGACGACAAGTTTGTTGCATTTTTGCCATTTTTCGGGAGTTAGCTGGAATTTCTTTCAAATTTTGAACTCAAAATATCAGTCAATCTATTTCCACTCTCATTTTTCAAGCTCCAATCAACAGAATTTAGAACTTGCGGTTTATCTGCGCATGCAGCGAAGAATTATGTCTGCATAATATGCATGCTCAGCATTGCATTGACGAAGATGTTTCATACAGTGCATGATCGATATCCGTATGATTGAGGTGTGCTAAGATGGATTTGCTGGTCATCAATAAGTGGCTCTAGATGAGCGGGGTGAGGGCCTAGAGTTGTGTAGATATTTATTTCTGGGCAGCTTATGAGCATGAGACAATGAGCGGTCTTGAGATTACGTCACCGAATGAATCCTTCTTTTGATTTGTTATGAACAACAATTGAACGTATTGACGCGGGGTATGTCACAAATACCTAATGCAACCTGCAAAATGCTCACAATCAGAATCATCTGCGTTTAATGCAGATGGTTTCAAGAGTTCCTGAAGAGTGAAAACCGCATCGATTGCTACTTCAGACTGAATCGAAGCATTGACGGACGTCTTTCATGTCTACGAATTTCCATTACACAATACTGACGCAAGGCTTAGATATAAGCAGCATTTTGCTATAGTCTGAGGAATTGATGTCATCTCATTAATAAAAACTCGATTGTGTTGATGATCTCACTTATGGATCAAATCAATTTATTGTCTATGCGTTATTTAATTATTTTGTCACCTGAAACGATCCATGCTACTGTCTTCTGTTCTACAATCTCATTTGAAACTTCTCATAAGCCATTCGCTAAGGTTGGAAGCTCTTATGCATGGTATCAATGATCAGTATGGATATCCGAGTTCTCGTGTTGTTGTTTGTTTTTGAATAAAGACGATCCCTGCGGTGTATGACCGCCAAATCTGTGTTTTTAATAAAAGGATTGTTGTGTTCAAATAAGATCAGCGAATCAATTAGTCAATAATACATGGTCATGTCTTCTTAACTCATTAAATTGGTTGTTTCTAAACAAATAACTCTTCATTGTCATTATATTCTTTGATCATTACTACTACTGTGTTCATTATAGGTACATCATATACTTGTTACACAGATACGTACATTCTTGTGTACTATAATACTATCTTTGAAGTAGCGACTGAGACAGAAGACACATCGGCGCCTTCCCATAAATTGCGCATTCCCTTACGTGTGTTGATTAGTCTCATCTCAGTCAATTTATTAATGCTATGCTAAAATCATCGAGATGCGACACGCACAATCCGTCGTATTTATGTAGGTACATCTAAGTGAACACAAACGAAAACAATGTCTCTTTGTTATGATTAAAGGTACAGACATTTGTTTACTCAACATCATTAAACTTCTTATATTAACCAATTGAGCGGATCATCTCGAGGAAATGAACCGATTTAGGAAGGCCAATGAAACGTCTTTGATTCGTACCGCTCACATAAAGAGTTCTTGGAAACTTTTTGCTGAGCACTTTCCGATAACTTAATGAATGTTTTGTTCATTTGCTATTGGTATAGAGCCGGAAAGCATGACATGACCATGAACCACTAAAATTGCTTATGTCCATTGTTCATGTTGATTGAACAAGCGGCAAGCTGATTACATAAGACAAGTGATCCATCTACTGTATCGAGCAAAAGCCGCAGAAATGCTCTGGTGCAATAACTACTTTAAAATTAAGTGTATTTTTTGTCGTCAGCATTAGCCAGGAGAATTCCATTTCCGCCTTGTTTCGTGTCAATCTTTTCGATTGTGGATGACTGGAAGCGGTTATTTTCAAATTCAACTTAAAAACCTTTCAGAGTTACTCGATGAACTAACCGGACATGAGTCAATTGATGCCTCAATTAGTGATCCGTCATTTGATGTGCTGTCGATCTTAGACAGTCAGTTGGATTGCTCGTAATAATGCCTTCCAGTTAGTTTATACCAAAGTAAAGCCATTCAATGCAGTTCGTGAAGCGTATTCCACAGAATATCAATCGAATCTTACGATGCATTCAATTTAATTGTTTTCATGATAAAGTTCAAATTTTCGTTGTATTTCTTTCCGGACAACTCGGAACTCAATGTTATTTATACCCAAATTTTATGTCGAAACATCTTATAGTTAAATAATTTGATCACTGTGCAGTGCATTATGATCTTCTATGAAAAACACGATTGCAGATTTTGAATTTCAAATATCACAAAGAGATGGAGATTAGGATTGCTTGTATTATGCTGAACGCTTATTTGTGTGGTGATCGAACGAACGATGATTGATTATAATAATAATAATGTTGATGAGGATGAGTGTGGTCATGATTATGATGTATATGCAAATAATCCGTGAGGATATAGTGTGCTCTTGAAACCGCAGGAGGTATGAGCAGTGTTTAATCGAATTAGAGGCGCAATGAGGCGTTGATTATTAGGCGCTAGTTGGGCTGGCGGCGCATTTCAGTGGGATGATTGCGACTGGAATTCGGATTTGGATTGAGGAGATCGATCTTGACACTCGTAAAATTGAGTGTGAAAAGTAGATGAGCAATGAATTGGGTGTGAATAGAATCACAGAATCATTAGTGTCAATGTTGCGTAATCAAACATGATGCGTCATGCATCGATCAAACACACACACAAAATGATTACAGAGAAGCGGCGGCGCATCACTATAAACACCGTTGCTCCCGGTTAATTACTTGTTGCTATCCCAAACGACCTTTTCACCCTTGCCTAATAGCCTTGAACAAATTCCCGAGTTGAACATGAAATTCATTCACTTCATCACAAATAATAAAATGTTTTTTCGTATAAAGTTATCAATGATAGCCTGCGATTTCGGTATTTTAAATTCTGATTCGAAGGTATCATATCGAAGGCATCAAAGGTTTCGTGTCCTCAATCAAAATCATACCTTTAAGAGGCTCCTATAATTGCTGAAAACTGTGATCGTTGAACAATTTCTATTGCCTTCTAAACAGACGTCCATAATAGTTATTATTTGTAACTTCCTTAAAGTAATCACAGCACTATGCGAAACGATCATTCGACAAGAGTAATAATTTCCGAATTGTTGTTTGCAAATGATATGGGTGGATGATGTTGAAGGGTTTAAAGGAAAAGAAAATTTGATAGATTTGAGTGGTACATTATAAGTATCACTCGAAGCTCGTCGTCTTTTGACACAAACAAACAAACAAATCAGCAATTTATTTCATTTACGCACTTCTTCCGGGTAAACGAATCTATGAATCGAATCAAGAGATTTCTCACAAAACCGATGGCCGTATCACTACGAATTGAGTGAAAATGCTGAATGAGGATTGTCGACAGATAGGTAAATGAACCTTTGAAGTACTCTCAAAGATAATTCATTCACAAGACCTTTGCGGAAAATTCTCTCGTCTCACTTCATGATTCTACCGTATTTGTTTGATTAACTAGGATAGCATAAAAACTCCAGTTGAATGCTGTTTGCTGGTGCTGACGTATATCATCACCGCCAATACGGCCATCTGGATTCGATAGTAAATCTAATCCTAACTGATATGACTTGACATACATAATTTTTCAGATGTGTACTTTCGAATGACGAATTTTTGTGGATAATTTCAGAATTATTGATTGATAGACCGTTTTTGCTTTGTAATGCGATCACTGTTTTTGATCTTTCGAATAAAAATTCGATCATCCTCTTATTGATATCCGTGTGCAACATAAAAATCAACCTTTTAAATCACAAAAAAATGCTGATGTTAACACAGAATAGTAATCACATCCGGAAGGAATCTTTGTCCAACAACCCAAAATTTCACTGATTTTTCTCAACTCCATTTTCATCATGTGAACAGAGTCGTCTTTAATTTGGTTTTTTGTATTTGTATTGACATCAAAAATTAAACTTTCAAGTTATTTAATACATGTTCAATGAAAATTACACAAAAATCAATGCTCAATTACACACATCAAACCAATCAAAAAACATTCAAAATTGCTGAATAGTAACACAAAAGAAAAACAATCACAAGCTCTTCGACATGAACCACATTGCAGAATAAGATCATTACATATCGAGACGAAAAAATATTCTCAATCAAACAGTTTTCATTGCAAAACACTCAAATTCTCAAACAAAACAAAATTAATCAGCGTATTTGCGATAAAAACTGCAAATACCACTGAACGAGTATCATCATTTCAAGCCAAAACGAGAATCGCTCGTCATATTGATAGAAATGACCACAGTATGCATCATATCCTAGTCAAGAGGAGATCCGCAGCAAATAAATAAGTAAATCAACGATTGCATAGGATGAGTAGTCAACGTTAGCAGTGTCTCTGATGTGAAATATTGTCAAATCATTATAATACAACGAAAAAAAAAATGAACGAGACAAACAGCTAAAGTAATGTACAGCGCTATGAGCTCAAAGTGTCATGAATGTGCTTAAGAGGAGTTATATTGCCGTTGAATCAACACTGAAATTGACCAATCTGCTCAAATTTTCATCACATGCGTCAGTGCTGCACACCATATCATCCATTGAAATAGATACGGTAGGCACTGTACTCTACAGTAATTAATCAAAATTCAACTTCCGACAAATCAGAATCTCCATACATAGATACCATGTGCTGTAGATTTTGTGTAGTTTGTGGCCTGATCAGAGTTTTCATTCACATTTTCGATGCGTCCATCGTTTTGCTATCATGCAATTCATTCGAGAACATAGGAGATGAGAACATCGGAGAATTAAATGCCATATGAGAAGTTGAATCAAGTCCTATATGAGTGGAATGCGTTCAATTACTTCCCGTAGTAGGAGTAGTAGGGATTCTGAGCTGTTGGATAGGGCTGTGCGCCGAACGGTGCAAACGGGAAACCACCTTGTTGGTACATTGAGTTCTGTTGACACATCGCCTGTAACAGATTTATTTGTCATGATAATTTTTCAGTCGTCTTATTCTAATGAAATGATATTCATGTTTTAAATGGATCAAGCTAATGAATATCAATCAAATGATTCTTAGGAGTTATTCGAAAGTCTACAAAATTGACAGTATGCAGTTGACGAACACAGTTTGCAAAGTATCAATTATGCAAGGTTTACAACTGACCTGTTGATAGAACTGATGATTTTTGATATCAGGAAGGCCATCCGGCAAACCGCTCAGGTTCAAAAGTTGCTCCGAATTCGAATCCGGTGAGCCAATCGAATTTTCGCATCTCTTCCCATCCTTTACCAGCACAGACACGTTCATTTTTCTGTAATCTATTCAACATCATTCTAATCGTTTGCTGAAATGTTTCTGCTCAAACAACACCGAACACTTCATTTGATAAGTTACTTCAATAGTTTCACTAATAAACTTCAAAAGAGCAATCAAACTCAACAAACTCACTTCTCCACCGGATTGCAGTTGTCGGTGGGTGATGGTGAACGTGATTCAATCGGGGAATGACTGTCTTCCCGAACAGTCCTTCCGTCCGTCATTTTACGCTCTTTTTCTTGTCGTTTGCATTTGTATCGATGATTTTGAAACCAAATTTTCACCTGAATGGCACAAAATTCTGCATTTCCAAATTAACTTAGAGTAATGTTGAAGAGGTGTATTGAATGGAAATGAGGTTGCTCAAACAATACAACGTATGCTAAATAAAGGTGAACCAGATGTAGATGCGCAAATGCAACCATTCAACTCAACTAAAATAACGAAAATCAAACGATAAATTAGCCACAATCTTTGCGCATTGTTTGATTTTATAAAATGTTTCGGCAACAAAATGAAGTAGTGACAAATTCAATGATACTATTTATGCATCCAGTTGAGGTAATAATTTCTTGATGTGATACAATGTGGAATGCAACTTCAAAAACAGTTACTTTCATGTCAAATGTGTGCAAATACTTACAAATGTTCACAGATCTTCCTATCGTTTTGAAAACAAAAAAATCACAGATGAAAAATTCATGAGAGGGAAATTCTTCGAAAATGCTCCTCTACAAGTGCTGTTTGATCAACGAATTTGGCTAGAAATGTGATGAAATCACAAAACAGACATTCGATGAGCTAGCGATTTATCAAGTATATGTATTTATTCTCCTATCATCCACCTTTGAACTGAATCTTGCAAACTTGTACTTCAACTAAGAAACTCAACCAAATAGTAGAGTTGTATACCTGAGTGGCTGTTAGACCAATAGAATTGGCGAGTGCTTCTCGTTCGGGTGCTGTCAAATATTTGGACGATCGAAATCGTCGCTCCAGCTCATAGACTTGATTCTGTGAGAAGAGTACGCGACGTTTTCGCCTTGAACCTGGATGACTGGACATTGGTAGTTGCAATCCATGCATAGCAGCTTGGGTCGGGTTGATCCCACAGTTCAAGCCAAATCCTGAGCCAAGGCGTGGCACTGAAACCATTGAAATCATGCCTTCAAATCTATCACTTGAAAAACCTCATGATCATTCGATTATGAATTAAACAATAGTGTGATCAATTTCTAATGCTTTTGGGAAGTTCAATAGTTTTTTATGCTCTTTGTTGAGATCAATTCTTTTTTCGAAAGTCACAATTAAAATTTGTGTTCTATTTATTGCAATTAATTCAGCCTATGAAACTCTAAAACAATCAAACTCATTCTCATGCTTTCTTGCACTATTTATTCAACGACAATATTTGTCAACTCCAACTGAAGTATCGTTCAATTGAACATTTTTTTGTATGAACAAGATGGCACCCCACCGTCCTCACTAACTGTTTTCCACTTAACCATTTAGCCTAACACTTTATCTAAACGTTGAGACGTTGACCATCTCTGTGGGATTCTAGTGAACTTCTATTCGTATCAATCAATCCATCATTAGTGATTGATGAGTAAGTTATACAGAGATAGATATACTATAATGTGAGGACATATTTATTCAAGTAATTACTTCATTATTCACTCGTTTATGATAACTTCCTAATTTGCTCATTCACACCTGCAAAAACTTTGTTAATTCATTCCTTTGTAATGAATTGATGATTTTCAGTTGCTTTTCTTTTCAGTGCTGCAACCCAATAATTATCTACGCTGTTCTTATGTAATTAGCTTTGTATTATCTCTTCAATTCCATTAGCTTAAGTGGCATTGAATAATTGCATTTCAGTGGATGAATTCTTCATTCGAATCATACGATGACGACGACATTCAAGCAGAAACTATGGTCTGAGACACTGTAGGGTCAATACACTGACATAGACTGGTTGAGATTTGTTATGTAGATTGAATTCGTAATGATGATAAATCATGATAATGATAAACTGATGATAAGCTCAAGAGATCCTTTTTGGCGAAAATCTCGATGAGAATATGAAGCGATTTTGTGGCAAGCCCATGGAAGACAATTTTTGCACTCAATCTCATCAAAAATTCATCATCAGTTCATTGAATTTACGCTCTTAGTTTGCTTATTCTACTCAAATTTTTGCATCAAGATCTTAAGAATGTTCTTGTGCGTGGTGATTATTTTCATATTTGTACTACTCATCAATAATTGTGGTTTCACACAATTATTAATTGTAAGACGCCATAATCAACACACGTCGTCGCACTTTTGTACAATAGACAAAATTTAATTTGGCGGATTTTACACAAACTAATTATTTTTGTGCACCTTAGCAAAACAAATTTTTCTCCTATCGCACATCTCTGCTGCTGCTGTTCTTTTGGTTCGTCAAATTTCGTATTTCCGTTTGTAATATTTGCTTCGAATTCTTTCTTTCCTTCACATAAAATTCATTTTTTCGTCTTCTCGAGAAGTAATTTGCCATCTGTGTGCACCACTTCAGATTCGAAATGTTCTTGAATTCCACAAAAAAAATGTTCATCTATTCAAGAATCAATGCTTAAAAACAAGACGCACAACCAAAATCAACAGCACTTCTAAAAAATCCAGCTCAAATCTCAACGAACCACAAAATTCAACCAACGATAACAATGACGATAATGCTGCAAGAGAGAGAGAGACGCAACAACAAGACAAAAACAAAAAGATAGTGCAAAAGGATGAGACCGAGAAGACAAATGTTTAGTGTG